TTAATTTCTACATAGATAGTTTTAAAATGTATCATATTATATTTAAACATTACCTGGGTAATAATGGTCGCCAATATATATGGGAACAAAGCGTACGTACGGTTGTGGTGTTCCCTAAAAAGTAAGGCTTCTTCTCCTATTAATGTCTATAATATTAAATTATGTTTAGTTAAATATAATATGATACATTTTAAAACTATCTATGTAGAAATTAACAATGTAATATTGTGCAGATACAAAACAATATTTTCCAATTTAAAAGCAAAAATCCAAATTGTCAAAAATGTAATGTAAGTGTTATTGAGACATAATAAGCAATTACTTTAAAAATGAAATAATGGTGCTTACAGTGAGTGCGACCATTGACTGTGACATTGAAGTTCTCTGTAATATCATATTAAGAGCCCCTTTGATATTATCGACGTTGGAGTAGTCATATCCCTGTCCGTAGTAGAGTATCCCAAATAATACTGTCATACACTGTGTAAGAAGCAATTTTGCATAGTTGATAAATTTGTATAAATTACAGTAATTGTATATTAATTTCTAAATCATTACCACCATTACAGCAAGCCGAGTTTGGATCAAACTGGGATTCCGCATGAGAACAATGTATGATCGCCACAATACAGTAACCAGTTGTTCCCAATAACCAGCCCTATATCCCGATCCCAGTGTTGCCAAGTTTAATGGACATATATTATCCACATTATATCCAGAGTTAACTTTATTTGCATTCCATTCGAGATAATTATCACATAATTCCTAAATATTAAGGCAATTTAAATATATATATATATAAATATCTAATTAAATGCATATTGAAATATTACATTGATTTTTCTTTTTGTTTGCGCATAATTACTATCCATTATTGCTATTTTGGGATAAACGATAAAAAGTGATTGAAATATATTAGGCATATGAGTAAAACAAACCCAATTCCCGTAAATAATAATCCGACGGATTGTAGGTTTTTGGGCAAACCTATTGAGTAAATATTAATATTATTTTTAATTAAATAAATATAATTATAATATCAATATTACTAATCCTTGCGATGAAAAGAAATCTTTTGCTTCACCTATAAATGCAATGAAATTATTATAAATTTATAATAAATTTATATAAAATATGAATACCGATGGACCCCATGAAAGCTACCCTTCCGTCGGCCATAAGTAATAGACTGTCGAAGAGTTCAAAGACTGGAGACGAGGGCTGATGTATAGTACAGATGACAGTCCGTCCCTCCG